TCACAGGAGTAGTTACGCAATTTTTCGTAATGTCTCTCGAAGACCATTTCGTTCGAGTCTTCTTCTAAAGAAGAACACCTTCCTTAGGGACACTGGTATTTTGTGCGCAGCAGTTCGTGGCAACCTCGAGTAAATATCTCAAGGAAAATTAGCTTAGAGGTTTTTATGGAGAGGTGAAAGGAATCGGGATTCTGTGAATTGTGGAAAAGGCAGGAAAATTATTGGAAAGGAATTGTGAGAATTCCAGAAAAGACAGGAAAATTATGGGAAAGGAATCTCAAAAGTTCTAAGAATAGAAAAACTTTAGAAAAGGATTTGCAAAAATCCCAGAAAATTCGAGGAAAATAATTCTGAGAGTTCGTGAAAATGCGAGAATATTTTGGAAAAAGAATTTCAAAAGTTCTAAGGAAAGATGGAAAAAATTCATTTCAATTCATCAAACAAGGAAAATAATTCTAAGAATTCCAGAGAACGCAGGAAAATTTAAGGAAAGGGGTTTCAACAATTCTAAGAATCGAAAAATTCTAGAAAAGGAACTGCAAGAATTCTAGAAAATCCAAAAAAATTCGTTCCAAAAAACAAATAGAAGAGATCATTTTCTCCAATGTCCACCTTCGACAAATTAATCAAAGATCCAAGTACCACCGAAAAAATTTACCCGAGGGTTTCACGGTACTTAACATGTACAAACTTTACAGCCGTCTTGCCTAAACGATATCGTCTACTCCTAAATTGACTACGATTATTGACTCGTAACGTTTCATCGCGTAAAAAACCTCTAAAATCATCCAGTGAAACAAGGACTCTCGCGATTCCTCACGCTTCAAACGCATCGCGCATGATCTATTACACGCGTTCTCTACCTTCCTCTCTTTCTCTCGTCGTTCCTCGTCGATAAAAAAATATATAAAAATTCCCACGTGCGAAACGTTTCGTCGTCTGTTCATTTCTTTTTTTTTTTTGTTCTTTTCCTTTTTCATTTTTTTTTTTCTTTTTTCTTTTGGCACCGAATCACCAACCGAACCGAGTATATCGTTTCTGTAAAATAGATTTTTTTCTTGTAGAGTTCTCTTAACAACACCTGCTTATATAGATTTATTTCGTAATTTATCCATTAATCAATATACTCTATTTAGTTGCGTATTATCATATTGTCTTACGTATAAATGTATCTAGTATCGATTTCGCATAGTACAAACCATTTGCCACATCACAATTAGTTTTTTCACTGCTACGACTATAAACGCGGAATAAGAAAAAGAAATGTGAGAGAAAAAGCTACTTTTCTTCGTTTCACATATTTCGAGGCTGTAAGAGGTGTACACGAAATAATGACGCGAAACAAAGTGTACTTTGTTCGATTTAGAAAAATATCTTCGACGGAGAAAATGTTCCAATCTTCCTGATTGTCCCATTTCATTTTTAATTCGTGTTTTCCCTTATTTTTTCCGTTTATTTTTCACGTATGGCTTAATCGAAGCTTATGGATAATATCGTATCGTTAGTCGAGCTGCACTTTAAAATGGATAGAAGCTTAGTGTTATTCGTATCCTTTTCAAGAGAAATTAATCGACAACCGAGGAACCTCTAAACGAAAAATGGCTCACGGTAACCTAGATTATCTCTGAAACATTTTCCAATCAACGTTAGATCCGTCATTTCTTAACTTATTACCATCCTACGCAACAACTATAACAATCGCATGGAAAACATAGCACACGAGAGAACTAATTCAACGATCACATGCACTTCGCGGCTCTGCCTTATAGCCTAATTTATTTTTTTCTTTTCTTCAACGTTTTAGCCTAAGATCCTTATCAGCTAGTTTTATTGTCCATTTTTTTTTCTTTTTTTTTTCTTTGGAACATCACCTAACATTATTTATTGTCTGTTCACACAGTATTGTCGGTTATTATAAATTTACATTATTCCTCGCTTATAACTACCTGTTGTCTGGATACTAAGGAAGACTTTTATCCTCTAAACGCTTTTCTTTGTTTTTTCTGTAGGAAATGGAGAACAGGAGAGTAGTGAGGATATTTCGTTCGAGAAAAGAACTATATGTGTAGGAACCTAGGGAAAAATATTGAGGGACCCAACGGGGATCGAACCCGGGACCTTCGGCTTAGCAAGCCGAGGCTTTGCGCGCTACGCCAACCAATCCCTCTCTATTCTCCCATGCCGGTTTCCTATTTAGGTATGGAGGCCCCGATACTGCATATGTACTGTATTTATTCGGATCATTTGGGAGAAAAGAACGTCAGACTTCCCCGGAAATACGGTTTCAAGATCGAAAAGCAGCAAGCATTTCTTCTTTTTTTTTTTTCATTTTTTTGCTTTTTTACTAGTGAAAGGTAAAGAAAAAGGTTTTTCCTCGTTCGTTTAAATGAAAAATTCTGTAGACGAATGCCTCGATAGGAGAAAAGCAAGGTTCACCGTTGGAAAATGGTAGAAAAACGTATATTCAGAATGGAGAGAAAGACTCGAATAAGAAAACACGTGACGGAAACGAGGTCGATTATTGTTCTGACCAACAATACCGCTATTCTTATCGCTTAGAAAAAGTCTAAGTCAATTAGTAAGGCTCCTAGTATCTCTTTTTCTCGCCGTAAACAATATATACGTATCAAGTATAAAGTATACTCGTTTTACTTTTTTAAAACTATCTTCTTTTTTTTTTTCATTTAAATCTTCTCATCTGGGTGCGGATCAAAAAGGTGCTGGTGCAGAGTATTGTCCCTAGAATTCAGTCAACATGTGTTAAGCTAATTTCGCTAAGCTAACCAGTGCGCTAATTTAGTTTACTACAAGCAGCACCTGTAAATCGCGTTTTCGGTGCTTCTTTAAATGTTACAAGTTCGCTCGTGCTTCGAGTACCGTTATTCGAAGTTAATTGTAATCGAAGCTCGAGCTTTGATTAGTATGTTTATACGTATATTTGTTAAGCTTTAAACGGGGAGCTGAGTGAAATTAGGGGAGAGTTTCTTTTTGTTTTTTAAATTTTGAAAATGAAATGTTTCAGTTTCTGCGTGTTAAAATTGAGGAAATTAGGAAATACTGAAGTTGTGAAATATTGAAATTACCAAAATAATAAAATGATCAAATATTAAAATTTTGTAACAATAAAATTATGAAATATTGAAATTGTGAAATATTAAATTTACGAGAATAATGAAATAATGAAATGTTAAAATTGTGAAATATTAAATTTATGAAATATTAAAATTGTGAAAGACTGATAGAGAAAAGATTGCGTTTCTGGAAGGAATCGATACTGAAAATTGAGAAGAATCTCAGCTCCAATCCTACCACTTACATACTCTATCTTTACATACTTACTTATGTATGTTTCTCCGTCTATACTTACACACGTGCCTTACATTAGTACACAATTATTACACATAACGCTAGACACGTATAATACATACACTATAATTAATACTTACGTTAACAAACATATACCTTACCATAGTCATATATCGATACTCTATAATAGTAGACTCTTACATTCATAATAATTACTCGAAATAATTCTTATCGTAAGTGCACAAACGCATCTGATGCAGAATGTGCACGAGATTATTTCACCTATATCGGGTGTGCGTTTCTAAAACATCGTACAAAAGCTATCCGTTGCATTTATTAATCTGAAACTTAAAAAAGAAAGAAAAATCGCCAACTATTTTTCACAACAAAAAGAAAAGGAAAACATCAAAATCATCTCCTTCAATTTTCACATATTTCTTATCCTCAAAATTTCCAGATTATTTTCATCGATCACTAACTGACGATCGATGTATCAAACAGGAAACGCACACCCTATTTGCTTTTATCGACCACTTGGTGGCACGTACACGCGGCTCTCCAAAAAACCGACGGCGATAGAAAATTGTTTTATATTTTTTTTTTATTATTATTATTATTTTTGTCGCATCTGATGCGGAATTTTGACCGTGTTTTTATTTTTCTCTTCGCATTTAACCTCGCCCCCGACTTACCTCAAATATTTTCGTCACCTCTCTTTCATCCTTGTGAAAATGGCACGGGCGATGTGACTTTCTAGAAATATTCGCGACGACATCTCGTTGTCTGAAGCTTTCTTCCTTCTTCCTATGTTTCCGTTTATTTCACCTGTTTTGCTTTCGCATCCTTACCTAAGTTTCTTATCGTAAGATACAAGGGAGAGACGTTTCAAAAGTTGATCGACGTAGATCGCAGGCTGCGGTTACATCTCGATCGATCGGTAAACGTTCGATCTTCTCGTGATAAGAGGGATATAGTGTTCAAAAATTGTCGTTCTTAAGTAATCCTTCGGAAATCGTCCGAAAGGCTATTGCAACGGAGTATCGAAAATCGTGGAGTATGAAATCGTTCTATATTTGAAAATCCACGTCGATCAACCTCCTGCAACGTGAATTATCCTGAAAATGTTCGAACTTAGATCACATAGTTTCGTCTGTGTCGTTAAATTCGTCGTCGTTTGCGAGAGGAAGTTAAGAAGTCACGGTAAAAATGCTCATTGGAAGTTTCTCAAGACTAGCAATAGCGGAGAATAATACAGAGGACATCGAGGCAAGCTTATGTCCTGCGATAAATTGAGATCGTATTGTCTTTATAGAGATCGCATACTCTCTGGAAGATTTCGCTCATGTGTACAACTGTTCCAAAACGTGTGTGTGTGTGTGCTATTCAAAAGGGAACTTTGGTATCGAGTGATTCGTCATCTCTCTCTGTTGATTCTTTCGTAACAAAGTAGAATCTTCTTTAGGCTAACCGATTAAACGTAAATTAGCTAGAATAATAGTATCTCTATCTAAATGTATAATCGCTATAGTGCCCTCGATATACTCTACTCGACGGCTTGGTAACAAAGTTTCTCAGCGATTTCTTTGCGATTATTGTCGTTCATATTATTGTCCTTACTTTGGTACCTGGATAGATCTTCGTCGGATGATTTCTTCGACTGTGTCGTTTAACTCGATGATTTTCAGGGTTGTTAGTTAACCCATGACTGGGTCGGAATATTTAGCCATCTCGCTGCGAATCCAGGGCACGTATTTTGGAACGTAAGCGTACACTCCTGGCAATTTTGGATGGGCACACTTGATACCCCAGCTTACTATACCACTGACGAACCATTTCTCTTTGTCTTCTTCGTCTTGGCAAAGTAGAGGACCTCCGGAATCACCCTGTTACATACAATAGACGAGATTCTGTTGAAAATTGCGATTTGAAAAACATTTAATATCGAAGAATGATCAATTTTTACACACCTGACACGCGTCTTTCCCTCCGTCAGGATAGCCAGCACAAATCATCCCGTCGGTGACGTTCAGCTCCTTGTGCGCTAGCCAGAGATTGCAGACTTCTCTGGTTAAGACTGGAACTTGGACTTCGTTCACGGATAGTTCGTACTCTGAGGCTGTGTGAATTAATTTTAATGGAAATTACCATTGATGATCGATGGAATGTTGTACGGTGTTAATATAAAGGAATTTAGGTGCGTACAGTCAGTGTCGTTCTTCTTGCCCCAACCAATCACGGTGCACAGTGTTCCAGGGATGAGTTCCGTGTTGACTGTTGGTAGACAGACTGGTCTTACGTGCTCGTGAAACTGGACTCGTTTTTCCAGCTGAAATCAATTTTTATCAAGAGGTAAATACACATTTTAGTGTATTTTAGACTCTGTGAAACTCAATATAAAAGAAACATACTTATTTAAAATTTTTTAGAAGTGAATACAAAAGAATGTTACGTTTTCGTACAATTAAAATTTGCAGTATCTCAAAAAATATGTAATTACGAATAAAAAATTCTCTTCGAGGGTCCAGTAATGAAACACAGAAGAGAGCTACATAGAAAATAAGAGTATGCACCTGGAAGAGTGCTACGTCGTTGTCCTGAGCGACTCTCATGTTGTAATCAGGATGAGGCACCACTTTCTTCACCTTCAGCCTCTGTCCAAGATAGGCGTGCGTGTGTCTCCTGGTGATTCCCAACTGTATAGTCCACCCAGTGACATCGGTGTAACTGAGAGTAAAAAATCCCATAAAAATATCCAAACAAAAACCTCGTAAAAGAAGTGTGTAACTCACTTCCCAACGCAATGAGACGCGGTCAAAACCCACTGATCAGCGATCAGAACACCGGCACAGTAGAAGATCTGTTCAGGACCGCCAAGCAGAGCTGCCAAGAATGGCCAATCGCCAGGAGTTGATTCTACACCGCCTACGATCCTCGTTTGCACTTTCGAATTGCCATAAACTGTCTTCCTTCGTCCACAGGCTACGTAGAATAACGAATTCAATTCCACGGATCGTCCTAGTATACGTATTTTCTTTAAAACAAATTACCATATTCCGAACAAGTCAACTCAACAGTGGGATAAGGCTCTTGATCTGTGATACATTCCTGAAATTCCTTCAAAAGATTCATCTGCTCGTTCCTCGGTTCCCTCTGAGTGATGTTAGTGTCCTGTGTCATCAACCTGGATGAAACTGGCGTCCTAAAAAGGATCGAGTGGTAGATCCTCTTCACCGAAAGCCACACTGGCAAAACCGAAATGGGGAGGAAAGGACGAACGTACGTGTATCCGAGCATGGAGCAGATGGTCTTTGCGGAATTCGTGTCCCAGTGAGGGATACAGGCTGGCATGAACTTGCCCATCTCCCCGTGGTACACTTCCAATCTTCCTTCGGCCACGTCTCCGTTTCCCAAGCTGAGCTTCACTGTTTCGGAGATTCGCGAGGAATTGAAGGTGTATCGAAGGTTTAAGCGACACTAATTTCTCTTTAATTTCTCTCTAATTTCTTCGAATTTTCCTTAGATACTCTTTTATACAATTGACAAAAATATCGTCGCACTCTATTTTTTATTTCCACACGTGTACGACTTTTCGGTGGTATTATCGCTTAATTTTCAAACAGCTTTGTCAGAACTTTATTTAGAAAAATTGTTCGTCGTGAGTTTAGAGAAAATTCGTCTAAAATTGGCAAAGATTGCAAAGTTCGAAATTGAAGGAAAGTATCGGCTCCACTTACAGCAGTATCGTTCATCCTGGCCCCAAGGACAGTCCATCACACCGTCGCACATGTGATTGGTGGACATGCACCTGCCCTCGCCACAGTGCAACTGCGACGTCGAGTCGGTGTTCATCGCTAGAATGGGTTTCTTCACGATCTTCGTGCTGAAGACAGAGCCGGACGACGAAGAGGAGAAAGAAGAAGCTGTGCACTCGCCGCATCCAATCTCGTCGCTGTGATCCTCGCAATCCAAGTGGCCGTCGCATCGCCAGTCGACCGGAATGCATCTGATCATGTCGCATTGGAACCCACTGGTGCATACTGTGCAACGCGTTCGCCAAGAAACAGGTAACAGTATCTCTCTTCGCTACATATGCTCTACCATTTATGTTCGTTTCATCGTCGTATTTTTCTACTTTCAATTTTCTATTCTTTTTTTTTTTCTGTTTTTTCGTTACTCGTGTTTTACTCGTTCGTTTGATTACCTGTTCGATGATACATCGATGAAATGAGGGGAGAAAAAAGGAAACGAGAGGAACGGGAAATTGGAATGTGCAAGCAGATGAGAATTGTTGACTTTTGTCTCGATGCGTTTGGTTAATCGTGGAATCATTAGCCGGGGCTATTGTAATTTTGAACCACGCCGGGTCTCTTTGTGCCTCGAGGGAAAATTGTGTGGGATCATTATGAGGATCGATAAAGTTGATCCTAGATGAGGTTTTCCTGTGTAAGCTTTCTGCTTTGTGAGAGTGTTTCGATGTTTCAGCAAGATTAACGTGTCGTCAAATTCTGGCGTAACAAAGCCAGCTACAGAATTCTCATTCTAGTTCTAAAACATATTGCTTACATTTGAAAGATTTGAAGAAGTTTCAAAAAACAATAATTTAAAATTTCAGTTATTTATAAATTAAAAGAAAACACGATGCGTATAATAAGAAATATATTGTATATTTTTTGAAGATACAGCATCTTTGTAGAAGATTTTTCACGCTCGAGATGATAAAAATTCATACGTTTATTCTTCTCGTAGTGTTTAACCAGCGATCTCCTCTTTGCAGACCGTTGTCTCGTTCGCGGCGCTTTGATAAATGTTTATTCGCCTCTCGAGTATCGTGACACCCGTTTAAGATATATGCATTCTCCGGATAGAGGAGTCCATAAAGCGAACGTTTCGAAGATCGTTTAATATAGATTTTGCAATTAGGATTCCATTAGCGGCGTCACGTGCGTGTATACGGAAATAGTCACGTGAATTGATGCAGACTGATATCAATCGGACATTAATATTCGCACCTTTTTTTTTTTCGAAACGAAGAAAGCGAGTCATAGTCCATTTGTATGATTCACAGTCATCCTCGATTTATTTAACGTGTTAAGCTCGAGAAATATATTCAACGTGTAATTGAATAAAATTGAATTTTTTAAAGTAAACGTTTTATATTTTTGTAACTTTTTTAAAGAAAGCGTGGTACTTCTTCTAGTTTTATTTTTAAGTATACGAAATCCTATGAGACACCCTGTATAGTTGCCTTACGATGATTTATTTAATGCATTTTTTGGAATCTAATTTAAAGCAGAGGCAAAATGAATTTTTAAAAGGATAAATTTGCAACGTAATGAATATCCAGTGCAACTTAATAAATTGCCAGCCATTTAGATAACTCTAACATACATTTCATACATTACACTAATTTATAAAAATATCGTACAAATTTGAAAAAATTTTTTAAATTATATTCGACGATGTTATTTATTTAAAAAATCCTGCAATCACAGATTCTTAAAAATCCCTCTTCGAAATATCTTCTCACCTCTCACAGCGAACAGTGTGTTAACTTTCACTCAGCTATTGAATAGCTCGTTCGAAGAATCCATTAGCCCGAAAGAAACGTGTCAGTCGACAAGTTCCCGAACTTTATCGTCGAATTCGTGTTAAAGATCTCGCTGGAGAGGTGTCTTTAAATTTTCCCAGGTCGTGACAGAAACATCGTGAAAAAGTGGGAGAAGAAAAAAAGCAGACGGTGACAATCGTTCGATCGAACAGATAGACAGAGAGGGAGAGACTGTAATCAGTGCACAATTTAATCTTAATTAACCACGAACGCAAATGAATCGGTTTATCAGCTGGTGCTGAATCGATCCTCGATTGCTCCCCACCATCGGAGCTGGACCACGATCGATAACGAAACTTTCCTGCTCTTTCGTCCTCGAGTCTCGTTCGATCCGGTAATTGCGCCGTGTTCCCCGACCGGCGATCGTTTAATCTCCCGGTTGTCGGTCGAGACGTCTGACCAAAATCAACTTCTACCACTGAAACGCGGCAGGAAGTCGCTCTTCCCTCGTTTGTTCAGGCCTTTACCCGCAAATTTTTCCCATTTCTGCCGTGAAAATATTTTCTTCGCGATAATGAAAATTGGCAAAAATAAGAGAAACGAAAAATAGTACTTATATTTTATTATACTTTTGGATGTTAAAGTAGTATTTTTCGTTTTAAACCTTCTACAGTAATATGAAACTGAACAGATCTTTTTGTAGTAATCTTTATTTTAATATAAATATATTTAGATCAGAACTCCCAAAAAAATTGCTTTCAAAAAATTCAAGGAATCTACATCTCCGCGAAATTAATTGATACTTGAAACTTTATGAACAAATCAGATCTATCGAAAACTACCTCGTAAAAGATTGGAAACACTGCAACAGATTCGACCCATTCTACAATCATTTCTCTCTCCCACTTCAACTTCTCCATTTCCAAATGAAATACCCTGCAATTCACCCATCCTTTACCTCCTCTTTCGTGCCAACTCTAACAACCTGCCGTAATTCTCAACGAAGAAACAGATTCAATAAACCAACAAATAACTCGATTTCTTCTCTGTCTAAACTTGCCCCGTACACTGTGCGCGACAAACGTAACGACGCTCGAATCGAATTACGTGTGACCAGTGGCGCGTAATTTCACTGCGAGCGGTCCCGTGGCCGAGGAAACTCAATAAACGTTCGAGGGAACGCAACGGGGGCCAAGAATCACCGTGGACGCAATTAAAAGGAAACCGGGACGATTAAGAAACCGGATTTCTGATCGAGACACGATCATTGGTTATAAACGTGGATTTCCTTCTGTCGCGGAGAATTGGTCAACAATGGCCCGAGCATTTTCGCTACGAACAAAAGAGAACACCGTACACAACGTGGACGGAACAATGAGCATAGGTTTAGCGGGTTAGCCGACAATTAGTCTCGTTCACCATGGCAGGGAGACGTTTCTCGAACAAAAGACGAACAGCCAAGTCGCGTAAATATTTCCGGTTCTCATTGTTCCGTTAATTGTCCGAGGCGTCGTCGGAGAATCGAGAGTAAATGGTTTCGCGGTATCCGGGATGTTTATGGCGATCGATTTATTGTCATCGCCGCGAAGGTTGCTCGGATTTTTATATCGTCCTTTTGTGAAACTGTGGAAATTTAAGGATCCGAGGGAGAAGAAAATTATTTATTCGATTAACGCAAAATTGTTGTAAATTGTTTTATGAAAAGAAACTAAAGTTTAACGTCTTTGTGGACTTTTTTACTGTCCTTTGGGTTTCGTAGGGTTAATAAAAGGTAGCATTTAAAAGAAACCTCAAAGAAAATTAATTTCTGAAAGGTCAGCGGTTCTTAAGCGAGTTTCCTTAATTCTCGGAGCAACTAACGACGCGGAGAGCTTGGAGAGAAGCGCACGCAAGCGGAGAGAAAGCGCGTCTTTCGAGCGTTTCCATCGTGAAACTCGCGTACATTCTAGCCGTCGTCCGGCTGTCCCGGCGAGATTATTTTAATCCCACGATTATCCACCTCTTTATCAAATGCCCCAACTTTATCCTGTAGGCTTATCCTCGACGAAGGAGCTGGGATAAATGGCTGCCGAAAATGACGAACAGCCCGTGTGACCCGTGGACCAAAGGGGCCTCTAATCGAGTTGCTTTCCCCGCACTTTTCTTATCTCTACTTATCCAACTTTTTCCATCGATACCCCCTTTTTTACAACGCGTGCGAAACATAATTTACCTCCCCCCCTCCTATTTTTTTCGCCTCTCCCCTTGTAAGCAAGCTGAATCGGAGCTTCGAAAAGCTCTCGAGGAACTGGAGCGAGCGAACGAGATTCTTGTGCAATTTTTGGCCGTGCAATCGGGGAAAAGCAAGATGAAGGAGTATTGTGAGGATTGACTTACCGGGTTTCTCTGCTCTGTGGGCTGCTTCGAGTACTTCTTGGTGACCCACACACTCGTCCGGATTGGAATTCTCGGGGAAAAGATCGCATTCCAGGTAGTCGGGCAGACTCAGGCCGAAAACGTCCAGGAAAAAGCCGCAGCGTCTCTTGGTTTCTAAATAGACATTAAAAGGCACTCAAAAATCAGGAAAGATATAGTAAAAGGACGTTTAAATTTAGATAGAAGAATGAACTGTGCGCAGAATCAGCAAAAACTGTGAAAATCTTATTGGAAGTTTGTGAAAGTTGCGGAATACGTAAGACAAGAATTAAGTAGAACGAGTCGGTCGTTAGTCAGACAAACCCCTAACATTTGACAATGGAGAACTACATTAACAATTTGAGGACTAACATTTCCAGTTAATATTCCTCTTAAAAATAAAGAAACTGAAAATTATACATAATTGTTTATATAAATTCCTAATCAATTTCTTCAATTTCCCTGAAAACAAAGTCCACTGGAATCTACTCCTTCCTCTCGCCCACTCAATTATTTAATTACATCCGACTACCGACCGTTTTAAATGCTATTATTACACTCCCTACTCGATATCTACAAAAGACAGTGATTAAAGGGATTACTCACGAAAGCATAGGCTGCGACAGGGCCGTACTACGTGGCCCCGTGAACCACACTTGGGTACAAAAACGCTGCAGAGAAAGAGGGCGGCCAATTCGTAGCATTTGACGTCGATCACAGAGCCGTAAAGCTCTAGCTCGTGCTGGGCGTCGCGTTGCCCGAAATTGCCCATGTAATTCGGGAAGACGGTGAAATTATACGGGATCTAGGGGAATCGACAACGAAACAGCACACATAAATGCGTCTGGCTTACTCCCTTTTAATTAGAACGTCCAAAGATACCGCTGCCCTTTTACGCGTCGTAACTCGCGACAAAAGTGATTACTTCTCTCTACGGTGGATTTTTCTGTGAGTTACTTTCTCGAGACCACTCGTGTTTTTAATTGAATTATTCGAATGGCTGATAAATTTCTTTCCTTGTAACAGGTACTTTTAATTCTCGAGAAAATCTTCCTATTTTTTTGTGCAGAATTACTATTGATAAAAAAGTCTCTGCTCCTTAGAGAAACCTGAAGTAAAGCAAATTGTTCCAAGAAACTTCGTTTGATAAAATAATTACTAAATATACAGTGTGTGATAAAAGTTCGTCGTAAAATTAATTCCATAAAACCGGTCACTGTTTCCTGGAAAGTAACTCGAGCAAAAACCTTCCAGCACCTTTATGCACGTTTAATTAAACGAAAAAGCTACCTGGAAAAAATTCTGTATTTTTAATAAAACCAAAGAAAGGCGATATAAGGTCGAAATATTTTCAACAACATTCAATCAACCGAGTGCAGAATCGATTTTGTCAAAGTGATCGGAGAATTTCGAGTATCCACGGATTGATAAAACAGAAGAGATATATACGAGAGAGGTAATCAAACAATCGAGGATTCTCTGAGCGTCGACTCGCGGCGTGCATTGTTTTAATTCATCGCGACGAATCCAGGGAATCTCGTGGGTGGATTCCTCGCGAGCTTATTGGAAATTATTCGGAAGAAAGTCATGCACAGCACGTGAACGACGACGTCGAGACACGTCTTCAAGGCTTACCTTGTGGTACTGGCAAAACGTCACGATTATAGGCAAACAGACGCCTGGCGCCGGATTCTTCTCCTCGATCGTAACTGGCACGCGTTCCGTGAACGTGATCATGTTCGTGTAGATCGTCTTGTTCTCCAGCCTGATCACCGTCTCTGAATTCGCTGTACACGGAATTTTTTATTTGCTTTTCATTGTGAATTTCTTTATTCTGTCGATTTTAAAAAATTTAATAAATATGGAAAATATAGAGAAGTCGAAAAATTTGGGAAATTCTCTGCGACAAAAATATGCCACCTTTCGTTATTCGTTGTAAAATATATATTCTGAAGATTCCAATTCAGAACAGTCTTAAATGTTGAAAAATTAATTTTTGATTTATCTAAATTTGAAAATTGAAAATTTGTCAAAATTGAGGAAATTGTAAGCTCTCCAGGATAAATTTCTCTTAATCCGTAATAAATTTAGAACACTGAGAACGGTCGATTGAAAAAAGAACCTTCTACATTTTGTCATGTTCCCTTTGACCAACGTACTCCTAATGGAGACTGCGAGGAAAAGTATTGTACGACATGATTCTCATACGCTCGAGTGCCCTCTGTCATTGTGCACCGCTACACGACACATTACGAGCCACTCTTTCAGCAACACTAGCGCAATGTACACTTTCCTTCGGCGAAATTCCGCCAAGAAGAAATTCCTAACAAAATTCCACTTCACGGTATTATGCACACCTTTAACCCTTTCTCTCCTGCGCTGAATACTCCAATTAGAGGAAACTGTAATTACCTCTGGAACAGTAACTTCGGGAATACAATGCCGCGAGGGAAGCAAGTTTAAGTCACTCTCCCTTTCGCGTTAAAAATGGTATTAAAATAATCAATTTCTGTAATTTCAATGATCATAAATCTAGTGAAAAAGAAATTATTTTCACTGCATAGAGCACTGTGTTATATTCCAGAAATAAATTAAGAATTTTACTCTTTACTTTGAAATTTTAATTTTTACTATATGGAGCGCAGTGTTGATGTGACGAAAAACGAACGTTACTACTCCAGGGTTAATTATCGTGTACACAATTATAATTGAAGGAAAAAGCCAATGAAAGGGGACACTGTAAAGCGGAAACGAAGTTGCATGGGACGAAGTTGCAGGCGAAGTCGGTGTTGATGTTTGAAAGCAAGTAGCACGCGGGAACCGGGAGCTCTATTGATCTTCCGCTACCACAAAGCTCCTCGTGCTACGTGCTCGTGCATTGCATACGCCTAACGTCACCAACATTTACGTTTGTCACCAACGATCAAGCAATAACGTTTCCCTGCTACGTTCTGCTCATGATCCAACCATACGCGTCAGCTTCATACAGACTCGAACTGTGTTACGAACGTACGAATAGAGCGTTTCATGTGTCACTTACATTTGAAGTAAATTGCCAAACCACCGGCAATGATCAGCAACGCGACGGCGTTGAAGAACACCTGCACGAACCTGAATCGTAGTCTTCCTGTGGTCACGTAGTGGCTGCCGCTCACATCTTTCATGATCTAGAAGAATTGCAGAGGGAATTGTTGGAGTTAGGTTACCGAGCAATTTAACCCTTTGAAATTTCAGCAATTTTTCTTTGAGAATTAATATCTCAAAAATTGAAGAAGCTATCTTTCACAATTTTAATAAATTTCTCCGAATGGACCGCTTGGATTTTTGAAATTTCTTTGGAAAAATGGAAATAACTTAATTTTGGATAAAATTAGAAATTAATTGCTATCTTTTGCAATTTTCACCCAGTGTAATTCGTTTCGTAATCATACCAAAGGAAACGAAACTAGGCTGACACAGAAAATTCCGTTAATTTAACTCGCTTCAAATGAAATTCTGCGTTCCAACATTGTACCATCGGCTGCTTTAACCCCTCGCGAAAGTAACCTAATTCCTCTCGGGATGGAACGATCAAAGGGAGAAACACTAGTTTCCTTTCGCTCGCGTAATTCCCCCGTCGTGTGAAACGGGTGTACGAATTGACACAAATATTAGTCCCTGAACGTCGATCGCGCGTACTACCTCGCAACAGATCCAATGTTTGAGGAGTCAACGCACCTTGACTACGTATTGGTACTCGCTGCTCTACCCTACGTCGGTTTCGATATCGATTATCATTTCCTCGCGGTGGTATCGCGCTACCGAAGGACAAATTACGTTCCCTCGTTCGCCAAATTCTGTGTCGTTGCGTGACTTCCAACTAGGCTTCTATATTACACCGTGAAACTTCCATTTTCCCCGTGTTCAGCGTCAAGATTCTCCTGGCAATAATCACGTTTGGTAACTTCGTCGTGTTACATTAGCGACTTTCTTCTTCGAGCACAGCTCGTGGGAAAATAGCGATTTTACGTGGTATTGGAGAAAGTTTGAAAATACTTTATCGGAGACATTTTTTTAAAACACCCCGTGTTCCTTTTTATTATTCCATTTTTTTATTTTTTTTATAGATCGTATGAAAAGCATTGAGAGAGAAAATTGTACTACCCCGGGGTTACATTGCCACTCAAATTTGTTACTTTTTAATATTTCGTTCGTTCATCTTTTAATTCTTTTTATACGTCCCATGAAAAGCTTCGAAACCCAAAATTGTTCTAATCTAGGAATTGACACTAAAATTTACTTCTTGTTTATTTACTCCTATCCTCAAATACTTTCTACCGTTTTCAATCGTCTAAAATTGGACGAACTCGTAGCTAGCAGTACAACCTCGATTCGTAGCAATGTTCCCTCGGTTATTGCAGTTATTTTCAGCGGACGTAATCGACGGGACATTGAGACCAGAAAACCAACAAATGAAGCAATTAAAAGGCACACCGGGCGGTTTCATAAACGTTGCATCGTCGTTGCACCTGTCCGGGGGATTTCGCGTTTATTATCGGAGAGAAGAGAGGGAAAGGGGTTGGTCAAAGCGGTATTTTCGACGTTAATAACGTTCGGTGTGCTATACGGTGTTAAATGATATCGGGCCAGGCTCGATACGGGCTCCGCGATATTTCCCAGTTATCGAGCGCGTAACTCGGAAAGAACACGCGCCCATTTCCCCGATTTCCCCGAACAAAAGGAATAAATGACGCGAGTTATCGATCCCCATGGAAACCTGCGATCTCGTGTACATTCATTCCATCGCGCTGCTGCCTACCTTTCCTCCTCTTCTCCTCTCTATCTGCTTCGCGGAGATTATTGGGAGTATCGTTCGCGAACGCGCCGTGAAAATTCTGCCTACCGAATGGCAATCGCCATCTGAACTTATCGAAACGAGAGAAAGTTAAAAAATGAAACGCTAAAAAATGAGACTTTATCTCGTTATCTGTGGTTTTTCAGAATTCTTTCAAATTCCTCTCTTGAAAAATCAGAGATTTTGACGCAAAATATTTTTTAATTTCTTAGAAAGTTTCAGTAATCAGATAAAAAAGTTAGTTAGTACTCGACACACAACGAATGTCTTCAAAAAAATAATTCCAAAATATGGTAAATATACTTCCGTCTTCTTTGATCATCACCAATCCTCCGCCAAACGATCCAGCATACCATCCGAGCTTCCGAGCGACCAATTAAGCCGGAATCGACTTCAAACGTTTCCGGTTTTCTGCATCGTGTCAACAAGCCGCTCTTTGCAGTTCGAGTCTGACCTCGAAAATTCGTTCGCGCTTCGTCGAGCGTGCGAGCCTTCAGGAATCGCTTGACCCTTAATTCCACCTACATATCTCTACCTCTTCCTCTCTATCTCTCTCTCTCTCTTTCGCGCCACCCTCTCTGTTCCACCCCGTTTCTATCTATCCACCGTTACGTAACAACAGAACGCAATCGATAACGCGAAAGAATTAAATCGCGGCTGAGTTTTCGCTTTACGTAACACGCTGTTTTCTGCGCATTGAAATAGGAAGGACGGAGGACTCACCTTGTGATGTAAGGAACCGTTATTACCGCCGTGAACTCTGACGATGGCTTGGAGGCTGGCTGGTGTGCTTGTCGACTTGGTGATCGTACGACTTGACGAGCTGTACGGTTCTGACACCAGTGCCCTGTCTGAAAATTCCGTCAGGAATTTCATTAACATCGACGACGATCGTCGTCGATCGTCTTTGACGAGGAAAGTATGGTTTTTGCTTGAGGATGATAGTTTCGGTAAATGGAAAATTTGTTGTAAATCAGAAATGTAAAGAATGCGTCTTCTGCGATGATACTTCACTAGAGAATCACTATGATGCGCTCTCTAGTGTGAAAAAAGATTTAACCCTCGGTTGTCACACCTCTTTCACGAATTGTCACACTGGGTCACCCAGACCCAGTTCAATTTTCAAGTGGTTGGTGCTCAAAAAATAGCAGTGATATTAAGTGGAAGATATTTGGGAATGTATCTTGAATATCATGGAATATGCTTTAATAAAAAAAATTAACAAACGAAATGACATTATTTCCAAAAAAGTGTTGAATATATCCAAAGTAAAATCCTGGGTCTAAATGACCCAAAGTGACAACTGAGGGTTAAAAGACCTTTCCTTAACCCTTGAACGAGCCAATTTCGACCGATTTGATTTCTGCGCGAAAAATCTTTTCGATCAGTACAACTACCAGTTTCGAAATGGAAATTTTTCTGCTTAAAATCAATGGGGAGATTTCTCTTTCGACGTTTTTTTTTATTACTCTGCATGAAAATTGCCAGCTACTGTGAAAATTTCATTTGAATATCTGGAAAAAAGCGTAGCTATGACGGTGGAAAAATTATGAGAGGCGTGAAGAAGGAGGAGGAGAATGATTAATCGAGATGGATTTTAAAAAAATGTTTCCTTTTTTAGACAGAGGAATAAATTCATTTTTGCACAGTTACCGTAATTGAATCGTTGATTCGATAGAGTGGAAAAAATGGATGAGATATTCCCTGGTGATGTTTCTATATAAAAGGTTTGTTTCGTGTGATCGATTGGATTGTTTTTGTCGCGGTGGAATTATTCTATTGGGCTGTGATGTAACCGGAGGGGTTAAGTTTGCACGAGGTGTGGAAGTAAAACGCGTCACGTGCCGCTGGCCATCAGTTACACGCCCCGATCCATCACCCTCCGCGTGTCCCATAAACTTTCTGAATTACGGAATCGGCGCGGCTAAACGCGCGTGCCACATTTAGATACGTGAGTCTAACTCGTTTACTGCGACGTTTATTTCGTTACATTGGAAATTCGAAATTTGTATTACACTTCCTTCGAATTTCGTTCAACTACAGAAATTTGGTAATCCTAGAAAAGTGTCGCGTTTACTCCAATAACCTACTTAAAAATTTCTAAGTCACACAAGAGAAACTTCTGAATTTACTTAAATTAATTCGGAAAGAAATTAAAAATTTACTTCGGCGATTGTAACACTCGTTCAACTCACACGCAGATTTATAAATCAGAGGATAATTCTAAGAGTATTTCATTGACTTAAAAAGAAATTACAAATTAATTTCATCGACTGTAGCAATAATTAAAAAATTCCAAATCTCAAATCCAAACAAAAAATTCTAAATACACTTTTCTCCCCACAAATGAAATCCCAAATTAATTGAATTATCCACGAAAATCCTTAAATTTCTCTGAATCACAGATATCAGCTCGAAAGGATAATTCTAAATATATTTAACGAGCGCGTCGAGGAAGATTCTGCATTTATTTCGCTAAACATTCCCACTTACCTGGAACTTTGCCATGTTTATGGGGTAGAAGGGGCGCCTCCATGGTCTTGCTGGTGTAACTGGGCGAGCTTGTCTGGCTGAAACTGTCCGAAGAAACATTGCTGTCCTGTCTAACGCTCATGGGCTTCGGCACGGAGCTCTGCGAGATTGCACTGAGGGGTGGCGGAAGGTTCGTCTGCGTCGCCTTCGGCAGTTTCTCGAGCTTCTCGCAGTTCCTCTCCTTCCTCAGATTGTGCTGGAGAATGTTCCTTGCTCTATCCATATCTGTCTCGTATTTGCCGCGCGTCGCCGCTTCCACGGATTTCTGTTCGGAATGCAGTCGTCTCTCGTGTTCCTGTGACGCTCTCTGCAGCTCCTCGTACCTGATTTCCAACCAATTCGAACCCGTTTTTTTTGTTTCTTTTCACGCTTCTCTGTATGAAACGTTCGAACGCGAGAAGATTCACTGTAACGGTTAAAACTGAGACTTCCGGAGAATTTAAACGGGAATAATTCACGGCGTGTAGGAGGTCTGCGTGGGATATTGTGATATAATTGAAAACCCTGTACAACCCTTTGAAGTGCGTTGAAAAATGAAAAATTACCGAGGAATGCTGGAAATGCCGTGGAAACGCATCGGAATTTTATTCTAGGCACCGCAGAGGCTGGAAATAATTGGACTCCCTGTGCTACGCTTTACAAACCTATTTCAAATACCAAAACTACTGCGCTACAATGGAGATTTTATTACGAAACGTTGTAGGACACTTTTCAAGCCCATTTAAAATTCTCGTAATAAATCGTAGCTGCGTACAATATTATTAAAAAAATTTCCAATGCTGTAGAACCCTTTTTAATATTATTCTACAGCTTCAGAAAATTGCCAGAAATAATTTCCCAACACTACAGCCTGAAAACCTCACGAAATTTCTCAAAATTGTGTTAAACTAGGGTAAAAAAAAAAATTGTTTGCTCTAAAATTGCTTCGTACACAACGAAAGGGTTAAGAATACGAAGAAAATGTTGGAGAATGTCTCACCTGGTCACAGGTCTCTCCTTGTTCGCTCGTAGTTGTTCGTCCTCCTCCTGCAGCCGTCTCTCGAGCTTCCTCGAGGCGTCCTGAAGCTCCTCGAACTTGGACCGCTTCTCTGCCTCGCGTCGTGACCTCACCAAGGCTGCAAATTTCGTCTCGTCCTCCTGCAGGGCCTCCCTCCGGGACAAGGCTATTTTCTCCCGAGACTTTCCGTCTCCAACCTCCTCCCTGTCGACCTCCTTGCTCGTCTTCGCCGACTGAAGCCTGTCGAACACACGTCGCGCACGAACGAGATGAAAAAGTTGGTAAAACGAGACGCGTATGAAAATGAATCGTCGATTAAATTAGCTCCACAATTTCCTTGTTCGTTCAACTTATTAAAACAAAGAAAAAATACCTGAGAACACTGTGTTCGTAATTGTGAAAGCGGCTAAATTATTATTAGAATAAATTTCTTGTGTTCTTTTTTGATGAAATTTCTTTGTGATGTTCAACCTCAAACTTTGAGAATTTCTTTCACCTCTTCAATACGGGTGTTTGTTAATATAAAAAAATACGTGTCAAATATTTTTTCGCGAACTATCTCTCACATAAATTTCATCAAAATCGGTGCACGTATCACTTCATTATCACCGGTGCAATTATCTAGTGTGAAATCAACAGGAGGATGATTGACGTTTCCTTCGACGTCTCTCCCGTTGCTTCCACGATGTGAAAAGAGAGAGTAGGTCTCTAAGACGAAGTTTGTAATAACGAAATAGCGAGATGTTCCCTTGAAACAGGATTCTATTAAACTGTTGCAGTAAGAATGGGAAGAATTCTAAATTAAAGCGACGCGATAGAGGTTCTTGGCGCA